ATCAGAGTTGGAAGGTCAGTGGGACTCAGGAGAGGGTGCAGGATGGAAAGCAGGTGGGTTTTTGTGCCCACCTCACCCCAGAGTGCTGTGCAGCTCTGGGATGTGACTCTGCTGGCAGCATGAGCTGCTCTTCCTGGCAGGAAGGTGGAGAAGCAGGAGGGAGATGTGACATTACCCGTGTGTCTGCTGAACCTCCCCCTCCTGTGCTGGTTCAGGTCCCACACCGAGGGGTGGAGCTGCTTCCAGTCTGTCCCAGGGATGGCATTTTGGGTGCAGCAGTGATGTCACCTGTGTCACACTGGTGTCACGTGTTAGAGTTTGTTTTAAAACCCCACAGAAATATCCTGGCAGATTTCCTTTTCTTACCCAAGACCAAGGGATATGTCCGAGGTGCTAGAGCATGCTCCAACTCCAAACCCAAAACACACAGACAGGCTTTGTCCCTCAGGGAGCATGCTGGAAATGCAGGGATGCTGTGGCCCATGGCTGAAAACCTGGGAGAAGAGGACTTTGTAGGGTGCATTTGCTTCCAGATCTGCCTGCCAGAGCAGGCTGGGGCACAGGGATGTTGGCCCTTCTGGCCAGAGAGGAAGATGGGTGGGACATGCTGAGCTCTGCAAGGAGCTGAGAGAGTTTCACTTCCCTTTGGGTTCGTGACTGAATTACTCACTTCTCTTAAGCAGAATGGCAGCAGGGAGGGAGTTTGTGGGGCTGCAGATGCGGGTTGTTTTTTTTTTTTGGTCAAAATTTGCATTCCTGAATGATGTCACAGCAGTGACTTGTCCAAACCTTCTCCTTCTGGTGACTTACAGCCTCCAGCCTTGAGAGCTTTAGGCTAAAAACAGAGAGGAGGTTTAGAGTTGATATTAGGAAGAAATTCTTCCCTCCTGGCACAGGGTGCCCAGAGAAGCTGTGGCTGCCCCGTCCCTGGAAGTGTCCATAGGCAGGTTGGAGCAACCTGGGACAGTGGAAGGTGTCCCTGCCCACGGCAGGGGTGGAACAAGATGGCCTTTAATGTCCCTTCCCACCCAAACCATTCCATGATTCTATGACAAAAGACTTTGGTTAATGTGCTGAAGTAGCTGGGTATGGGGGGTTTATTGCTTTCAATGGTTTATTTTATTGTACAGTACAACAAAGATCAATTTATCCACTTCTGGCAATCCTATGGGAAAAACTCACGCAGCTCCTTCAGCTCTAACTGCAATCAAAGGCCAAACTTAATGAAAGCATCCTGGTTGTGGGGCTTTCCAGCCCCTGAGGAGATCTAGGAGGAATCCCAGGATGGTTTGGATTGGAAGAGACATTAAAGCCCATCCAGTCCCACCCCCTGCCATGGGTAGGGACACCTTGCACTGTCCCAGGCTGCTCCAAGCCCTGTCCAACCTGGCCTGGAACACTTCCAGGGATGGGGCAGCCACAACCACTCTTGGCAAAAGATCAGAGGTCTTTTCTGACTTTGGGCACTGGCTTCTCCTGCAGATGCTGTTCTCCAGAGCATCTGGACTCTCTTGGATCACAAAGGAGGGGATGCACTTGGCTCTCAGTTGCTCAGAAATACGAGGTTCTGCTGTTCAGCATCCAACACATCCTGCTGCAGGCTGTGCTCTGGACACCAAGTGATCCAGATATTCTCTGCCCTCCCAGGAGAAGTTCAGCTTGGCCTCGTGGTGCTGGATCCTGAGGAGCCCCCAGAGCTCAGCCTGGGAAGGGCAGGAGCGTGCGGGCTGCGAGCGGAGCCGGAGCGCGGCCGCGGGGAGGGCCGGGGGAAATGAGATCCCTTGTGCAGCTTTCCCTCTCCAGCCGCTTCCTCCTCATTGACAGGCCGAGCAGGAAGAGCCGTGACCACGGATGGAGCTGCCTGGGCTGGACCTGCCTGTGGGAAGGGAACTGGGCAGGGCCTCACCCCAGCACGGGGGCTGTGGCCGAGCCTCCTCAGGACAGAGGATCCTTCTTCTGGAATCAGGGCGAAGCAGAGGACACAGCACCTTCTTGTTCACTGGAAGAGGGATGTGTTAAGCACTGTAATGCCAGGCCAGAGCTGTTAGCAGTGGACTTTAAAACCTGTTCTTGTGTGTGAACATCTGAATGTCCTTGCCATGGCTTTACATGTGCAACAAATGCTCCTGGCAAGGAGAGCAGTTGTTGAGGAAATGAAAAGCATCACCCTTACTTGAGAAACCAAACTGTTAATAAACACGTAATAAAGAAAACAACATGAAGATGTTGGTGCTAACTGCAAAGGCTGGGTGAGTTCTGGTGCCTTCCCCAGCCCTCTGAGGCTTCAGCAGATACAGGTCCACTCCCTTTGGAGGCAGCTCTCACTAGCATCCATACCAGGGTTCAGTCAAAAATCCCTCTTCCCTTCCCACCCTGTGCTCTCAGGAATGTGGGTTTGCCTCCCACTAAATCCTGTTCCTGCCTTTCTGAGTCCCACAGAGGAAATGGGCACCTTTTGGGGACTGAGGGGTCAAAGGTGGGATCCTCTATGAAATTCTTCTGTGGGGCTCCTGATTGGTGTCTAGATCCTTGATCAAATGTCCTCCAAGCCCAAAGACATAATTTTCCCAATTGTTTTTGCTGCAGTTCACCTGGATCCCTGTAGGCTTGTTGCATGTTGTCAGTCTGGGGGATTTTTGCCTCCCCCCTCCTCCCTGATCTCCCACAGCCCCAACTCCTCTGGTGTTGGCAGCCAGTGTGATGTTGCAAGGGTGGGTGAGCAAGCCCAGGGCTCTGCTCAGAACAACCCAGAACTAATCCTGCCTTCAAAGAAGTCTTCTTTGAGCCCTGCTTTCCATCAGAAAACCTGGCAAGAGCTAGGAGATTTCTGACAGCTGGAAATATGTTGAAGAAATTCCTACCTGTAAGGGTGGGCAGGCCCTGGCACAGGGTGCCAGAGGAGCTGTGGTTGCCCCTGGATCCCTGGAACCCCAACTCCTCTGGTGTTGGCAGCCAGTGTGATGCTGCAAGGGTGGGTGAACAAGCCCAGGGCTCTGCTCAGAACAACCCAGAACTAATCCTGCCTTCAAAGAAGTCTTCTTTGAGCCCTGCTTTCCATCAGAAAACCTGGCAAGAGCTAGGAGATTTCTGACAGCTGGAAATATGTTGAAGAAATTCCTACCTGTAAGGGTGGGCAGGCCCTGGCACAGGGTGCCAGAGGAGCTGTGGTTGCCCCTGGATCCCTGGAAGTGTCCAAGGCCAGGTTGGCCAGGGCTTAGAGCAGGCTGGCAGAGTGGAAGGGGCCCCTGCCCATGGCAGGGAGTAGAATAGTGTTCTCCCAGAGGAGGGTGCTGGGGCTCCAGGGGCTCCCAGACACACAAGTCACTGAAAACCAGAGCCTGGAGCTTTACTGACAGATGCAGGAGCTGGCACGTGCCTTTCCTTGGACCCAGGTAAAGCAGCAGGGAGGTGGTTCGGGCACAGCCTGGAGGAAAAGTTGGTTTTGAGGCTGATTATAAATCCTTGGGTTTTGCCCTTGGTTTTCCCTGCAGGAACTGCCCCAGGGGAGCTGTGCTCCCTGCAGAGCTCCAGCCCTGCTGCAGCTCTGGGGCTCTGAGCCCACACTCCTGTACAGCAGTGCACCATCCTGGGATGGGACACATCCCTGGCTACCCCTGGAGTGAAATTCCCATTGGGAAATTCAGCCAGATGAAACTCCAGAGCTCAAGTTTAAACTTCAGGCATCGAGCTGTCCATTTCAGCTTTTCCCTTTTGCCCATGGAACAAATTCTGTTTTCTTTTTTGTGTTCATAGTTCCTCTTAAATTAAAGGCAACTACTGCTGCTGGCAGCTCCTGAGATACAGGAGACCTCAGGCGTATTTTATTCCAAGCAGGTGATTAAATAAAATAAATTAAATTAACAATGCTTTGCACCATCATCCCTTGCAGAACCATTTTTAAAATTCTTGCCAGTTCTCCATCCCAGTGGGAGTCAAGGAAGCCCATGGAGAAATATTTCTGTTTCCCTTTTCCCCCACTCAACAGGTCCTGCTGCTGTGTGAACCACGAGTGACCCTTTGGTGCTTCCACTTGGGAATAAATCACATTTCCTGCAGGAACACACATGTTCAGTGATGGGATTGCTGTTTCCTGTTGCAGTTTCCCTTTTCCCAAGGGTCCTGTGCTGGGTGCATTCCAGGAGAAGCCAGGAGCCTGCCCTCTTATCACAGCTTTGCTCTTGGGTTGTGTTTGACAATTTGAAGGCTGTTAAGGGAAAAATTGTTTGGAGGAGGAGGTGGGAGGAACAGAAGAAGCTCACTGGGTGTAAAACCATAAGGGGATTCCCAGTCCTCTCCTACAGCTGCAGGAATTGCAGCTGCACGTTTGGACATGGCTCCAAGCAGCTGAATCTCCTTCAGTTCAACCCCCCCGGGCCCTTGAGCTGCACTGGAGCTTCCTGAAGGGCTGATCAGAGGAGCAGCTCCTGGCAGCTCAGTCCCCATCCCTGCTGCTATTAAAAAATAAATTACTGCCTCTCAAAGCACACATCAAATCCTTACTGAGAGGGCTGGGTGGGGGTGTGAGGGGAGGAAAAGGAGGGGACCAACAGCAGCTTCAAGACCTTTTCAGAGCCATCCGGCTGCAGGATGTGGGGAAAGTGTGAAGAGCAGCAGCACTGCTGATGCCCCAGCACAGAGCCCTGGGGTCAGCCCTGAAGTGGGGCTGCTTTCCAGGAACAGCAGCGTGGGGGAAACCTGGATGGGCCCTGAGGGGCTCTGCCAGCCCATGGTGCTGCTGGGGACGGGGGTTACACTGCCCTGGCTTTGGGGATGGGGATGAAGGAGGTTGTTTCCTCTCCCAGTTCCTGCTGGGCTGAAGGAGAAGCTGGTTTGACCCCCAGGGCACCACAAAAAGGAATCTCATCATAAGGAATCTCATCTCTCCCAGAGCCTGCTGATCCAGAGGGTGCAGTGTGGTCACGGCTGAGGATGCCCAAGTGCTACAGCTCTGCCAGATCCCGTGTCTCCAAGCACCAGGTGAGGGGGTTGAGTGTGGGCTCGTGGCAGAGTTTGGGATGAGGAGCCTGTGGTCATCAGCTGATCTCAGCCTTTTGTGTGCCCTTGAGCAATGCCATGGGAATTTTGCCCTTCTGTGAGCTTCTGCCAACTCCTGTTCGCTTCTCTCTTCTCCTTCTTGATTTTTATACATCAAACTTCCTTGAAAATGGAGGAAATGAAACCACAGGGCTTTTTTGTGAGTGACAAGGGACTGGTCAGCCTCCTCCCAGAGAAGAAATGAAATTTAGGGGGAAGGCAAGAAAATGATCTCCCTGATCATTTTTGCTGGTTTCAGGAGTTTGGAGGCCACGTGGTCGGGCAGTTCATCTCCCAACTCTGCAAATATCCCGTGGGCACCACGGAACACATGGCATGTGGAGCATGGACCTGCTGGTCCCAGACAGGTCCTGCTGCAGGGCTGGATCCTTTCTCCATAGTTTTGAACCCTTTCCCAGCTAGGTAGATCTGGGTGAAGTTTTCCTCCTCAGAGGCTGGGTTTGCTGGGGACTTGGGGGTGTGTGAGGACCATGGGAAGGGGGAGACATGGGGTGGGGAGGTGGAGAGCAGGGGCAGATAGGGCTGAGGAGGAGCATATTGCCTTGGGAATGTGGATCTTTGTTTCCTGGCAGCTGCAGGAAGAGCCATTTCTGCTGACTTTCACACAGGGACTAGCACTCAGGAGGTCCTGAGTCCGGGTGGTTCTGACTTGGGCCCTGGGTGCTGGGTTTGCTGAAATCCCCAGCAGCCCCAGGACACCCAAAGGTCTGGGAGCAGGGGGATAGGAGCATCCTGAATCTCACTTGGACAAGGTGAGGAACAGGCACTGGCTTCTCAAAGTTACTGGAGACTCAACACCTGGGACATGTCCAGCCTTGGCTTGGGATGCAGCAGAAATAACAGCACCTTCTTCCCCCATAGGACATGCATCCCTGGGCTCCTGTCAAACCCTGAGCTGGGTGCTGGAGGCCAGAGGGGTCTGGAGGGACACAAGGGGAATAGGTGCCATTCAGGGGTGGCATTTCTCCACCCTGCAGGAGTGATGGCGTGGCTGAGCAGGGCAGAGCCACCCCCAGTCGCCATCTCTGTGGGCTGAAACCCCAAGTGAGGGTTCTGCTGCGTAGAGGAGTCACCATGCAGGGCTTGTCCCCAGGAGCTGTGTGACACCCTGTACCCCTGGCTGCCTGCTGGGCCCCGTGGTTCCTCCTTGCCGTGGGTGAGTGCATGACCCGGGCTGGGAGCGCTGTGCTGGGTGAGGAGAGCAGGGCCGCGCTCGCTGCTCCATGTGACTGCAGTTTCCGCTGCAGCCTCCTTCCGCAAAGCCTAAATTGGTGCTCAGAGAGAGGGCGGGTGGCACACGGCCTGCAGGGTGGCACACGGACCCCGTGGGTGGCACACGGACCCCACGGGTCACCCCTGTCCCCAGGACCCCCCTGAGCGCAGCTGAGGGGCCGCAGGATGGACCGTGCCGAAGCCCAGGTGCTGTTCCACATGGTGAGTACTGCTCCCTGATATCTGTGATGGGGAAAACACCACGGGGGGTTCCCTGTGCCAGTCTGGGGACCTGTGGGGACCCGTGGTGTCACTAACACCCGTGCTCAAAGAGCTGTGGCTGCGTGGGCTCGTGCCGGGGCTGGTGTGGAGCGTGGGGAGCACCCCGGGAGCTCCCAGAGCTCTTGGATGTGGGCTCTGGTGTAGGGCTGCGGGCAAGGGTTTCCTGCTGGGGCTGCTGCCTCCTCTCCTGGCTGGCCAGGTGCCATCCCACCAGCTCCAGGGAGCACTGGGAGGATGGAGGTGCTTCTGGTGTTCAAAGAAGCTGAGAAAGGTTGAGCTGGGTGAAGGAAAGTGGGAGTTTCTGCAGAGAACCAAAACTGTGTTCTTTGGGTGCAGCAAGAACCAAGGTCCAGGACAGCAGGGTCCCTCTCCTGCCACTGTGTCTGGGTATGAGCTGCTGCTGGACTCCAAGAACTTGAGAGGGCAAAAGGTGCAGTGTGTCACTTGCAGCCTGGGGAAAGGGACTACCTCTCCACCTCCCCCAGAGTAATAAATCCTGCTTTGATAAGGCACCAGCTCAATGCTTTGGCTGTGCCAAGGAAGGAGACAGCCCAGGACATGCCCTGCTCCCTCTGTGCTGCGAGGCTCTGGCTACCTGGGCTGCCCAAAATAACCCTGTTTCTCCTTCATGCAGTGGCAGCTGTGAAAGTGCTGTGTGTCAAACACTCGCTGAGCCCTCACTGCTCATTTGCCTGAGTTTCAGCTTTTCCCCAGATGCAAATGCCGTCAGCTCCGCTCCCACCAGGTCAGTAACGGGGCAGCTCCTGCTGGACAGCCTCTGTTCCCTGGGAACATCCCCAGCAGGGATGGGCACTGTGGGACTTGGGGGGTGGGTTGGTGTCCCCTGGGAGTGTTTGATACCAAGAGGGGGCACAGGAGCCCTGCTGGGGGACTCCCTGCTCGAAGGATGCAGCTCAATGGCCTTCACGAGCAGCTGTGCAGCACCCATGGTGCCTTCCCCCTGTGCACTGCCACCCCTGTCCCTGCTCTCCCCCTGCCCCCAGGCTCAAACTGGGGCAGTCCCACGAGGGCTTCTGCTGGGGTGGGTGGGCTCAGTGCCAAGGCTCTGTGCCCCTTCTTCCACGGGCAGCTCATGGTGGCCCAGGTCACCTGGGCCTTTTGGGGTGAACAGTTTGCAGCTTCTGACCTCCTCCCCTCTGCCTCCCTCTCCACAGGAGTGCCGCCACTGGGATGGAGGCTCCGCTCCCTGGTGTCTCCCTGCTTCTTCTCCTCCTGGCTGTGGGATGGGGAAGCAGGATGGACGCAGCCTGGGCACCATCTCCTGGGAGCTGTGAGCTTGTAAGTCCTCTTTTGTGAACCCTCACCCCTCTGAGTGTTTGGTCCTGCCTGGCAAAGCCCAGGCAGCTCAGCATCTCCAGACCTTCTCCATCCCAGCTACTGGCTTGGAGTGGACTGGTGGGCCAAGGCTACAACCAGAGCCACCTCCTCCTCCCTTACTGTACTCCCCAGACTTCTCCCTCCTCATCTCCTGTCTCCCACAGTGGTGTTATATATCCTCCTCTTCCTTCAGGTGCAGAGCATCATGGATTGCACTGGCAGATGGCTGAGTTCCATCCCAGGAAACCTTCGAGGCGATACCGAGGAGCTGTTTCTTGATGACAACACTATCCAGGTCCTGGGCAATGCCTCTCTGCTCCTGTATCCCCAGCTCTGGCATCTCAGCCTGACCAGGAACCGGCTGGAGCTCATTGAGCCCGGCGCCTTCCTCAGCAGCCAAGGCCTGGAGGTGCTCTCCTTGACAGACAACCTGCTCTTCACCAACTACTCGCTGACAGCTGCTGCTCTGTCTGCTCTGCCAGCCTTGAGGATGCTGGATCTGGCTGGAAACCAGCTCAGGGAGGACATGGTATCAGTTTTAGTCTCAAACCTCTCTTCCCTGGAGTCCCTGTCAGTGGCCAGAAACATCATCATGAGGCTGGACTCATCCACTTTCACAAACCTGACAGAGCTGCTGGAGCTGAACCTGGAGAAGAACTACATCTTTGAGATTGACAATGCTTTTGAAGGGCTACAGAGGCTGCAGAGGCTCAACATAGCTTACAACTACCTCCCGTGTCTGGTGGGGTTTGACCTGACCCAGCTTAGGGTGCTCAACGTCAGCAACAATGTCATTGAGTGGTTTCTGACCCTGGAAATTGATGACCTCTTTGAGCTGGAGGTGCTGGACCTGTCCCACAACCGCCTCCTGTTCTTCCCTGTGCTGCCCCAGAAGAGCAAGCTGCACACCTTGCTGCTGCAGGACAACAGGATGAGCTTCTACCAGCGTCTCCCCAACGGCACCTCCCTGGCCAACGTCACCATGCAGTTCCTGATCATTGATGGCAACTCCACCAACATCACAACAGTCAGGCTCTGGGACGAGCTCTGCCACAGCAACCTCTCCTCCCTGCGCCTCCTGGACATGAGCCAGAATGAAGTCTGGGGCCTGCCAGATGAATTCTTGGCCCAGATGCCCTCTCTGACCCACCTGAAGCTCAACCAGAACTGCCTGGAGGCGTTTCACCTGTCAGAGGAGGACCCCTTGGCCATGCTGACAGAGCTGGACCTCAGCCAGAACCAGCTGGTGGAGCTGGGGGTGAAGGTGGGTGTTGGGGACATCCTGCCCAGCCTGCAGCTCTTTAACCTCAGCACCAACAGGCTGCAGGCTCTTCCTCCCGGGATTTTCACCCGCACCAGGAAGATCACTACTCTGGACCTCAGCTACAACCGGGTTGTCCTCTGTCCCCAGCCAGGTGAGGCTGAGAGTCTCGCCTGCGTGGACATCAGGGGTGTGGAGACCTTGACCCACCTCTCCTTGGCTGGCTGTGGCCTGCAGAGGATGGGTGGCCGTCCCTTCCAGGGGACATCACTGGTTCATCTGGACCTCTCTGACAACCGCCAGCTGCTGTCCGGGGACCCGGGGTGGCTGCAGGACCTTGTCCTGACCCTGCAGGTGCTGTCTCTGAGGAACACCAGCCTCTCTTCCACCGCCATGGACCTCTCTGCCCTGAGCAGCCTGGTGCGCTTGGACCTCTCCGGGAATTGCTTGGCTGCGTTCCCCGCCTCGCTGGGCACGCTGAGGCTGCGCAGCCTGGACCTGCGGGAAAACTGCCTGCGGGCGCTGCCGCAGGACGTGGCACAAGTGCCGCTGGGGAGCAGCCTGCGGGAGCTCTACCTCAGCCGAAACCCCTACAACTGCTGCACGCTGGGCTGGTGGGACGCCCTGCAGCGGGCCGAGGGGCTGCGCGTCCCCGACGGGCCAGAGGTGACCTGCAGCCACGGGTCCCGCGCGCTCAGCCCCGGCGCGCTGCCCCAGCCCGTGCTGCAGGGCTGCCGCTGGCACGAGGCCGACCTGGCGCTGCTCTACCTGGTGCTGGCTCTGCCCACCTGCCTGACGCTCCTGGTGGCCTTCGTTGTTGTCTTGCTCGTGGTCAAGGAGAAGCTGCTGAGAATGGTGAAAAGCCGGTGTGGGGTGTCCAGCCCTTACTAATGGCTGAGGAAGAGGAAGGGCTTGGGAATAGTCAATAACGGGGTGGTCAGGAGTACAGGTGATAACCCCTCCGAGGTGGTCGAGATGGAAACCTGGTGGATGTAGGACAGGAGGTGCTGGGAGAGCTGCCATTCCTGCCCTAATGGTACCCAAAGGGTGAGGGCTGTGTCTGGTGATGGAGCACTGGGAATCCTCAAGGAACGTGTCTTCAGCAGAAACCTTCAGCTGGTCTTGGTGAGAGCTGAGTGGGCAGGACATCAAACATTCCTTGGCTGAAAGGACAGGTTGCCCAGAAAATCTGTGGATGCCCCGTCTGTGGAAGTGGATCAAGGCCGGGTTGGAGTGGGCTTGGAGCAATCTGATCTAGAGGAAGGTGTTGTAACCAGATGGGTTTTAAAGGTCCCTTCTAACCCAGACCATTCTGGGATTCTGTGACAGTTTTCTCCATCACTGCTTTCCCCACCCACCTTCCGGCTGTTCCTTTTATTTATTCCCACCTGTAGCCAATTCAAAATGTCTTCCAGATCTGCAACCAGCCTCCACAAAGTGCCCCAGGCTGGAGCAAACATCACCTGGGTGCTGTGGGGTCTCTGTAGTCACAACTTTCCACACTGCTCTTGCCAGCACTGCCAAACTCGCAGGCAACCCTGATCATGCACCATGTGTGTGTGCTGATAAAGACAGGCGTTGTCAGCAGGGCTGAAAGACACATTTTGGGGTGTTGTTTCTTCACCAAGTCACAGTCTGGGTCAGAAAAGTGCATTAGAAACAGCCCAGGTTGGAACAACGGGGAATATCGATTGAAAAGCAGGAGAGTAAATTACATCCCTCAGTGATATTTTATCATGGATTTATGTTTCTCCAGTGACTGCTGGATTAAACATACAAAGGAAACAAGAGAAATCCTTCCTCCATGCTCCGGCTTGCACAACTGCTCCGGCAGTGCCCGGGGATTTCCTCCACCCAGCTCTGCTCACAGCAGCTCTGCCTCTCCCAGAGCAGCAAGCACTACCTGGGGAAGTGCTGCTCTGTTCCTCGGGGGTCACTGAGGGGAAAGGAGAAGTGGTGGTGGTTTGTGCTAACTCAGAAGCCCTTCTGAGAACTGGAGTGGCTTTATTCCTGTGGCACTGCTGGCATTTTTCTAGTGAAACATGTTTAATGGGAACAGGGCACAGGGAAGTGTGCAGCAGTGTTTGAGTGGGAATTGTAGTCGGTGATGTGGGGTGTGCCGGGGCTCAAGCCCAGGGGAGTTGTCCTGTGGGGTGATGGAGGGAGATGCCCAGGAGCTGGGAGGATGCCGGGGATGGTGCAGGCAGGGGAGCCAAGGCTGGCAGCAGGGCAAACCCTTCCCAGGCACGGGTGTGGGACTGGGCTCGTGGGGGAGCCTGCTGTGGCTGGTGGCTGTGCAAGGCTGGAAGATGGATGGGTCAGACCCTGTTAGAGCAGCCAGCAGCTCCACTGGGGCTGAGAGCAGGACAGGATCTGGAAACCCATCTGTCAGATCTGGCTCGGAAATGACAGCTTTCTGCCTCTATTTTAGACTGAAATAGCCAAAACCAAAGCAGGCCCCAACTGGGGAATCCCTCAGCCTATTTCAACCCTTCTTTCTGCCCGCAAGCTGCACCCTGGGGGACAGCAGTGACCTATAAATACATCCCTGCACTGTCCCCCAGCTGCACTCCAGAGTCTCCTCGCCAGCAGGGTGAGCAGGTGCCCCTGTGAGCTCCCCTCTCCCTGGGGCTGGGCTTGGAGAGGGATGTGTGTCCTTCCCCAGCTCCACAGCCAATGCTGCTGCTCCATCTGGTGTGGGGTGTGGGGTGCAGCTGTGGGAGAACACGCAGGGAGGAACCCAAGCACCTGGCACTGCCCAGGGCATGACTAAAAAGGAGGGATTCTGAATTGTATGGAGCTGATGGGGTACTCAACATTCCCTCATGATGGTGCCTGGAAAGCCATGGCTCACATGGAGCTGTGATGTGAATGGGATGCTGGGGCAGCAAGGGGAGATTCCACTTTCTGAGCTGCTCTCAGCATCTTTGCAAGGCCGTGGTGATCAGGGAAGGTCCTTGGTGACTGGAGAACCCAAGGGTCCCACCCAGCTTCAGTAACAGCCAAAGGGCCATCCCAGAGGAGATTCCACTTTCTGAAGTGTCCTTACAAAGCTGCTCTCAGCATCTTTGCAAGGCCGTGGTGATCAGGGAAGGTCCTTGGTGACTGGAGAACCCAAGGGTCCCACCCAGCTTCAGTAACAGCCAAAGGGCCATCCCAGAGAGCAACAGGGCAGGAACCTTCATGTTGGGAAAACCATGGAATAATGTTCTTTGTTTGGAGTTCTAGAAAAAGAGGGGCTGGAAGAAGTCAGCATGGACTGCTGAGGCTAAGTTATGCCTGCCCAACCTGCTTTCCCCTCAGGATGAAATGGATGGATGTGTAGGCAAGGGGAGAGTGGTGGATGCCCTGTGCCTCAGCAAGGCTTTGGACACAGAGTCCCACAGTGCTCTCCATACAAATGCAGATGTCACAGTCTGGGTGGGCAGCAGGCAGGTCAGGATCTGTGGCAGTGGAGTGCAGAGGGCTGTGGCCAGTGGGATGTGCTCTGCCAGGAGGCTGCTGAGGGGGCTGTTTTGGGATCTGTCCCACTTCATGTCTTCATGCATGATCTAAAGCTGGCTGTGAAGAGCCTTCCTGTCAAGTTCCCAGAGGATCCCAAACTGGGAAGACCAGTATGGCTCCCTGCTGATGGTCTGGGGTGGGCGGGAGGAACAGGCCAGCAGGAACCTCACAATCCAGGCACTCCTTTGGCCTCATGCAGCCCTCACTGGAGAGGGGGCCATGCCCAGGCCGTGTCCTGGTCAGGATGAAGCTGGTGGCAGGCTGGAAGTGGAGGAGAGGTTCCCAGGGGCCCTGTCCCTCCCAAGTGGGAGACCTTTCTGTGTTGTTATGTTGTTGTTGAGGCAAGGCCTGTGCCAGACCCCTGCACACCCTTTCCTGTCCTGGGAGAGCTGAGTCAGCCTTTACATTCTTTTAATTTTGGCAAGTGAGGCCTCAGCTTTCATTTCTCTCCTGACTGATACCCCCTTGGCCAAGTGTGAGCTCCCTCGTCCTCTCTAGTGACAGCAAAGCGCTGTGATTTAACTGACATTTGCTCCATGTTTTTCACAGCAGTGATTCATTTTGGGGTGGAGGAGGAGAGTTCTTCCAGCTGCTCCTCCAGCCTCTCCTCTTAGTTCTGTCAGGCAGCAGTTTGTTGAGGCCCCTCAGTTTGGGGTGAAGGCCCATCTCACCCACAGCCCTCACAGCTGCCTGGGTTCAGAAAGCCAAAACTCAGTTGTAAAATTGGGTTGTAAAATTTCCCAAAGAATCCTAATCTTAGTCCTCCAGTTCTTACACGAGAACAGGACTGATCTGTACAGACCAGCCAAGGCAGACAGCTGGACTAAAACCTTTGGTGGGACAAGTCTGTCTGACTCTAGAACCACCCCCAGCCTTTGACCTTCTACCAGTCTGGTTTTTCAGATACTTTAAGCACATTCTCCCAGAACTAAGCACTTATGAGGAAGCATCACCCAGGAGTAACTATCCCACTGCAGCAGTTTGAAATCACTGTGTTTTCAGAAGTACTTTTAAGATTAATTCATTTTCAAGACATTCATTGGACTTATTTTTGTGTAAGCTAAAACTGGAGATTTAAGCATTGCTAGGGAAATGTGAGAGCAATATTCTCAATACAGAGTTGATTTATCCAGAATGACTGATACATATTTAACTTCCCAGCAGGCAACAATAATCACCCTATTTGTACAGTACAGCTTTAACAGTGTCCTCAGGACATGAATATTTAATGCTTCATATTCAGCCCAAGCTGACTAAAATGTAAAAAATTGAAAGATTAAATAATTTAAAATTCTTTTATGGAGGAAAAGACTAAAACTAGCCAACAGTTTCAGCTATGCAGTTTCTATTTAATCAAGTCTGGCTTCTTAAACAAAGCTCACTTGAGGCTGGGATTGCTGTGGCACCTCGGGTTCTCCTGAGCCAATGTATGATGGCATTCTTCTCTCTGCTGGGACGCTGAGATTTGTCTCTGAACTGCCTGTCTTTGTCTGGAATCAGATCTCTTCATCTGACTCCATGTCCCAAGCACAGGACTCCAGCTGCTCATCCTGTGGGAAATCCACCTCAACGTTGTAAACGAAGTCGGGGTCATCCTTCTTCTTCCTGTTCTTTTCAAAGACCTTGTCCATGATGCTCTTCCTTTTGGCCAGTTCCTTATCATCCAGTTTGTTCATATCCTCCTCTGGGTCAATGGTCTCTTCCTGATGAAACCTTTCCAAGCTCTCAGACAGGCTCTGTCCTTCCAAATGGCCTCTCAGCAAGCTGTAGAGCTTCTGGAGCTGGTGCAGCGAGACCCCTTCCAGGTAGGCCTTGTGCCGAGGGTTGTTCTTCAGCTGCTCGGCAGCCCTGCTGCAGTCTGGGGAGAGCCAGCACAGGCACCTGCAGCTCCAGCCAACCTCCTCCCACTGACACACCCTCCCAAACCCTCCCCAGGGGTCTCTCCAGGCCCTCCAGGCTCAGATGGAACCCTGGGCTCCTGGCAGAGGCAGCATTACCCCAGCACAGCCCCTGCCAACAACGGGCTCTGCATGCAGCTGGGCAAAGAGTGAGTGAATGCACTCAGGAAGGAAGGGATGACTGCACTCAGGAAGGAATGGCTGCACTCAGGAAGGAATGGCTGCATTCAGGAAGGAATGGCTGCACTCAGGAAGGAATGGCTGCACTCAGGAAGGAATGGCTGCATTCAGGAAGGAAGGAATGACTGCATTCAGGAAGGAAGGAATGACTGCATTCAGGAAGGAAGGAATGACTGCATTCAGGAAGGAAGGAATGACTGCATTCAGGAAGGAAGGAATGACTGCATTCAGGAAGGAAGGAATGACTGCATTCAGGAAGGAAGGAATGACTGCATTCAGGAAGGAAGGAATGACTGCATTCAGGAAGGAAGGAATGACTGCATTCAGGAAGGAAGGAATGACTGCATTCAGGAAGGAAGGAATGACTGCATTCAGGAAGGAAGGAATGACTGCATTCAGGAAGGAAGGAATGACTGCATTCAGGAAGGAAGGAATGGCTGCATTCAGGGAGGAAGGAATGACTGCACTCAGGAAGGAATGACTGCATTCAGGAAGGAAGGAATGACTGCACTCAGGAAGGAATGGCTGCATTCAGGAAGGAATGGCTGCACTCAGGAGTGAACGCCCCTCACCTGAGAACCTGGAGAAATTCCTGACAGGCATGATGCGCTGGCGAGTCTTGTCCTGGCTGTTGTCTCTGTAGATGAGGATGATGGACGGGGGCTGGAAGCAGATCCCACATTTCTGTGCACTGAAAGGCATCCTGCCTCCATCAGAGCCTGCAGCAGCTCTCCCTGGGGAACAGGGAAAGGGAAAGAGGTGGCTGAGTCTCTCAGTGCTGCTCTTTGTGTCAGGAGTTCAGCAAAACCACAGAACCCCAGAGTGCTTTGGGTCAGACTGGGCCTTAAAGCCCATTCTAATTTAATTATGAAATTAAATTAGAGGGGACTTAAAAATCCAGATCTGCTGCAGATTCTGTTCCCAGCTCAGTGGACAGCACTGAGTGCAGGTGTTTCTTTTATTTTGAATAACATAAATAGGTTAAAACCCAATATTTTTATTGGTTTATGTATTTTTATTGGTTTAAATACTTTTATTGATTTAAATACTTTTATTGGTTTAAGTATTTTTATTGGTTTAAATACTTTTATTGGTTTAAATATTTCTATTGGTTTAAATATTTTTTATTGGTTTAAAACAAATAAAAACTGGTTTTAAATGAGTGAAAATATGTCAAACATTAAGATGGTTTGCAGACTGCAGTAAGGCAAAGTGACATATTTTACCCTCAAAAAACAATGTATTTCTCCACATCAAGAAAAATTGCATTAATGTTGAAAAGCTGCTTGGAGGCAGAATTGGAAACACTTCCTCCTTTGTAAAAAATCACATAGGAAAGAGTTTGAATATGCAACGTCCTTAAAAATGGAAAATTTCCAGTGCTGGGTTGGTGGGGATTTGGAGGAACGTGGAGCAGTGGAAGCTGTCCCTGCCCTTGGCAGAGCGTCTCTTCTCCCTCCTCCTCTCCCTCCTGCTCCCGCTCCTCCCCCGGCCCGGCCCTGCCTCCCCGGGCGGTTGCCATGGCGCCGCCGCCGCCGCCGAGCCCCAGCGGCAAAGGCCCGCTCCGCCAAGGCCCCTTTCGGGCTGCCCTCACCAGCGCCTGCGGGACACAGCATGGCGGAGCAATGGGCGCGCGGGCCCCGCGCGGTCAGGCGGCGCCAGGGGCAGCCCGGGGGCCGGGCTGGGCGCGCTGCTCTGCGCCCTCCGTGAGTGCCCGCGGGAACCGCCGGGAGAGCAGGGCGGGGTGCGCAGGGCACGGCCACTCTGCTCGGGAAACAGGCTGGGAATGCTCACCGGGAGAAGGGAGGGATTCCGGGAGAGCTCAGAGCCCCTTCCAAGTGTCAAAGGGGCTCCAGGGGAGCTGGAGAGGGACTGGGGACAGGGCATGGAGGGACAGGACAAGGGAATGGCTCCCACTGCCAGAGGGCAGGGCTGGATGGGTTATTGGGACGGAATTCTCCCGTGGGAGGGAGGTGAGGCCCTGGCACAGCGTGCGCAGAGCAGCTGGGGCTGGAATTGCTCAAGGACAGACCTGGAGTGCCCTGGGCTTGGGGATGGCGCCCCCGCCCAAAGCTGAGGGTTGGGACAAGATGGGCTTCGAGGTCTCTTCCAACCCAAACCACCCTGTGACTCAGGATTTGGGAACTATGGCTTGGCCAGTGAACCAGGAAACCTCTTGTGCTCTTTGGTCACAGCCAAGTAGTGCTTCCCTTCTTCTGGGAGGGGGTTTGCAGATGAGGCCTTTGTGAGTTATGGAGCTTTCCCAGCCCCTGCGGTGGCTGTGCTGTTACACTGTGGGCTCTGTGTCACCTCAGATGTGCAGGCAGCCTGTCGGGGCACCACTGTCACACAGGAGCTGCTGAAAGAGGGGTTTCACAGGTGAGTCCTCCCCCTGCCTCCCTCAGCACAACGTGCCACAGCATTTCCTGCTGCAAGAAGCTGCTCTTCTCTTCCTGTGCAGTTGTGTCAACTCCCTGGGCACCTGTCAGGAATGTGTTAACAGCATCAAGGGATTAATTAACAGGCTGTGGTGGAGGGAAAATAGGAGCCCCCTTTCTAAAGCTTCTGTGGAGGCTGTTGGTGGTTCTGAGACATTCACAAAGAAGTGAAACTTCATTTTGGCCGTGGTTGTGGGGTTGAGGTTGAGAAGGCTGGACAGGGAAGTGTGACCAGAGTTAGTTGCACTCGGTGTGGGAGCTCATCTCCTCTGAGAAATGTCTCTTGGGATTCTTGTCAAGTGTGGGTGTGAATTTTTTGCTCCTGCTGCTGTTTGAAGGGAGCTGCTGGTGAAGGTGGAGCTGGGGGAGGATGCAGCAGGATGTGCAGTGGCAGCTCAGGTGCAGCTGCCTCCAGGAATCTACGTGGATCCCTACGAGCTGGCAGCACTGCAGCAGCACAACCTGACAAAGGTAATGGCCCCACACAGGAGACGTGGCAGGGGTCAGGCAGGGACTCAGGGGCTTGGAATGTCTGGTCATTACCTGGCTCGTTAAACCAAGGTGATTATTCCTGGAAGGAGGTGCCAAACAATATAATCTCCCTGGTGTCTGCTTGGAGCTCAGCTCTCTTGGTGCTGCTGGTATTGTCACACACAGGTGATGTGCCAGGGAGCTGCTGCTCCTCTCTTAGCCCCACAGCTGTGGTGAGAGGGCTGGGGTTCAGAAGGAGGAAGGGAAACCCCCAAGGAGGTGCTGGGGAGCTCCAAGTGCTGTGTGTTTGGACTGAGCAGCTCCCCAGCTTCATTTTCATCCCAGCTTTCTGTGCTGCTGCCCAGTCTGTGCTTCCCATTGGAGAGATGTGCACAGGCTGTGCCTTTTGTCTGCTGGGGTGCCTGGTTGCTGTAAAACATGGGTGCAGGGGCTGTGGGCAGCTCCTGCCCTTGGCATGCCTGGGGTGCAGGTCTGGCCTTGCTGACACCTCACAGGTTTGGCTGTAGGCACAGTGATGTAGCCATGATATCTTATGAAAAAGCCTCTGCTAGGATTTCTTCTTCTCATCTTCTTCTCATCTTCTTCTCATCTTCTTCTCATCTTCTTCTCATCTTCTTCTCATCTTCTTCTCATCTTCTTCTCTCTTTCTTCTCATTCTTTCTTCTCATTCTCTCTGTTCTTTTAGTATAGTTTTAATGTAGTATTTTAATATAATATATAACATAATAAATCAGCCTTCTGAGCAAAATGGAGTCAAGCCTCGTGTCATCACACAAAGGGTTGCCAAGACAAGACAGTGACACTGTGAGCTTTTCCCACACGGGAGTCACTCCTTGAAGACAGTCCTGAAAAGGTATTTTGGAACAGCTTTAGGCTGCAATTCCCAACTTAATCATCCCGACCACAAAATCACTGTTAGTGTTAGAATGAGGGGGGCAAACAGTTTTTGATTTCCACCACAAGCACTCCCGTGTCTCTCCCTGCTTGCAGGCAGTGCTGTTCCCTGGTGCCATTGACGTGGAGGCCCCCGAGTACTCGGCCAAGGCTCTTGTGCTGCTGCTGTTCCTGGAGGCGGAGGCGCGCTGCTCCCGCTGCCTGCGCGGCGCCGTGCCCGTGCACGCCCGCTACCACCGGCCAGCCCAGGGCACGGCCCACGCCTCCGTGCCCCTGCAGAGCCCCGGGCTGCTGCTCTGCTGCTGCCACGGTGAGGTCCTCACGGGTGCTCCTGGGCAGTCCCAGCTCTGGTTGTGTTGGGGTGCAGCTCTGGGTGGTTGTGTGAACGTGAGCGGAAGGCGCTGATAAAGACCTCGCTGTCTGCCTCGCTGGGTGCTGCTGCCTGGCCAAAGCAGGGGTTTGTCACAGCCTTCCCTGTGTCACAGCCTGCCCTGTGTCACAGCCTGCTCTGTGCTGTGCTGCTGCCACTGTACCCCTGTGCTGCTTGGGCTCTTCTTGGAAGACGTGGCAGTTGTCATGATCCGTGTTTGTCATGGTCCTGGTTTGCCAAAGACTCCCTGCTCTGACTTTTCCCATGGCAGCTGGAGCTGTGCAGGGTGTGTTCATAGCCACTGTCACTTATTTAGAGTAATCAAAGTATTCAGGTGGCTTCTGACACTGTTGCTGCATTCCCTTTATGTAAAGGGGGAATGTAGGAAACTGTGCCTGAGGCTTGGAATGGTTGGGCTCTCAAACTCTGGTGAAACCAGAACCTGATATCCACTACAATTAATATTTCAATTTATGTGAACAATTAAATCCTGTATTTTTGTTACAAATTTTGTGTCCCTTCACAAAATCATTCCTGCCAAGTCAAGCAGACTAATGATTTTCAACTGCTTTTTCTTTACTTGTGCATTATTTGAGCAATGATTTTCTGGGATAAGCATAGGGACAGACAGGACTACCCAGTCACTTAAAAAAGGAGTGTTAAATCTTCCTGGCACATTTACTAGTTATGAGCAGGAAAACATTTCTTATTAATGATTAATGGGGAAGGATTTAAAGTATTGGAAGGGGGATCTTTTGTGTGCTGACAGGAGGCCAAGAAGCAAAATGGCCTTACTTATTTTAGGGACTTATTTATTTTGGGGAAAATTCTAACTACATGGCTAAAGTTGAGGGGTCTGCAGGCTAACCAGGAATTCTTTGCCCTGTTAAGGACAGAAGGGCCAAGATACCACACAGGTGAGATTCTTTCTTGGGTACCTGCTGTATTAGGAAGGGAAGAGTTGTAAAGTTCACAGCAAGAACTGCCCAGCCTCACTTTGGCCATGCAGAGGTGTTTCACCACTTGGCTCCCAGGGAATAGATTCTGTTGAGCTGTTAGGGGGGAAAAGATCCCTTATTTGGAAAAAGCTTGCAGGTCAGGTTGCTTATCCTGCCTGGCTCCTGGTGATGCAGGAATGCCTTCCCTAGGTCAGCTGTCTGCAGAGTGCTGGGAACCTGCTGAAGTGGATGCTCCCTGCTCGTCTGACACCACCAGTCCCTGTCAGTGGCACACCACAAAACACAGACCTGTGAGTTCTCCCTCGGTTCTTTTTAACAACTGCTGCCTTTTTGTTATAATTAACACCTTTCTGGATTAATTTTTTTTCCCTTTCTGACTGGCTTTTAGTGGGGGTCATCCTGCCCTTCTGCTGTGTTTACGGGGATTGTGCTCTTCTGGCCCTTTAGCATGGCTGCTCTCCTGACCTTTTCTTTTTCCCTTACTGGTTTACTTGGAATCCGAGGATATATTTGGCACTGGCCAAATAAAGAAAGGTCTTTACAACACTGGTTTAGACCAGTAGCAAGGTGGAAGATGATAATCTAGCTAAAGTAATGGTGAAACTGCAAAGATTTAAGGAGTAGCATCCTAAAAAAAAGGCCACTTCTATTTGTTGGTTGTTACCTGTTTGGGTGTCTAGGAAAAGATGAAGTTTCTTACTGTGTTCAAAACCAAGGAAAGTTGGATCTTTAGTGTGGCCAACAACTGTCTTTGATGTCCAAAAGTGCCACAGCAGTGTAGAGATTCAGAAATTAGACTGGTTTATATAATAAAATAATCTGTTGCTGTTCTAACACATGTGCCTTCCTATATATAAGATACCTGCAGGCCACTGGTACATCTGTAGCTGTTGTCCATAAACATTTTGCAGCTTCCTGTATCAATGAAAAAACCAAATGGTTGCTGACTTTGGAGAAATCTGTGTCCTTAGTGGTCTGAGCTCACCTTGGGAGCTGCTCTCCCTGCAGCATTCCAGACATACCCTGGAGTGGGAGCAGAGATCCAGGGATACAGACGGCAGCAGATCCATTTCTGAGCTGTGCAGTGCAGCAGTGGCTGTGAATGAAAAGGAGATGTCCCATCCTGGTTCTGATATTGAGTCTCAGAAGAAGCTTTAGCTGAGTGCTAATTAAATCAGGGTCTGGTTCCTCATCCTCTCAGTAGCAGTCAAAAAGAAACAGCTGGTCAAATGAGTGTTTTATATTTATTTTTCTTTGTAGGCATATGAGGAATCGATGCTGAGGGTTCCTGTGGGGCTCAGGGAGCACAGTTCCCTGGTGTGTGCCCTGACCCTGCTCACCACAGGGCTCTGCTCGGGCCTGATCCTCGCTGCTGCCTGCAAGTATGGACACTTCTCTCAGTGACCTGAGGAACGTGGGGTGTCTGACCCCCATCCAGCACAGCCAGCTGCAGCTTTCATGGGCTCCTGGATGGATCCTGCTCTGCTCTGAGTTATAGCTTAGGGGTGCACAGGTCCCACAATGGGTTATGGTTCCTTTGGCTCATAGTGCTTACAAATGCCTTCTGCAGCCCAGAGGACATTTTGGGTGTGTTGTCAAAAACCAAAGCAGATGGAGAGTGGGAAAAAGCTTCAAAAAGCTGAAAGCACTGCTGGGAGTAATGAGGCAACAGTCAGGAGTGGGTTTGGGGCTCCTATTCCCTGCTTCCAATGCAGTGCTACCTCTTGCAGAGGTGTTTGTATTTCTGTACTCAGGGATTGGTTATTAAGGGTATAAAAAACATTATTGAGTCATTAAAATTTCTGAATTTTGATCTTGTTGTGCAGATGGGTTATGTATGTGTTTGTGAAGGGACATTCTGTGCCTACCTGGGACATGTCAATAATCTCTCCCATCCTAATGACTCTCAGGGATTGGCTGCTCTTGGCCTAATTAGAATCACAGAGTCATTAAGGTTGGAAAAGCCCTCCAAGATCATTGAGTCCAACCATTCCCCCAGCGCTGCCACAGCCACTCCTAACCCATGTCCCCAAGTGCCACATCCACATGTCTGTGAAACCCCTCCAGGGGACTCCACCACTGCCCTGGGCAGCTGTGCCAGGGCTGGGCAGCCCTTCCCAAGAGGAGCCTTTCCCAATATCCATCCTGAGCCTCCCCTGGCACAGCTTGAGGCTGTTCCCTCGTCCTGTCCCCGTTTCTTGGGAGAAGAGCCCCACCCTCACATGGTTCCATGTTCTGTCAGAAGTTCTGAAGGTTCCCCTGAGCCTCCTTTTCTCCAAGCTGAACTGGTCAGAATTGAAAGAGTTTAGAAAATTTGAATAAATTTCACCCTATTTCATGAATGGAAAGAAACCCTTGGAAGATGAAAGTGAAGGACAGGATAGTGACTAGAAGCAAATATTTAGGAGATGTACATTCAGTCTCCAGGACAGTTGATAAATAGAAGGAAATGGAGAGGAAATTACCTAATGGAGAAGCAGAGAGGCTCTGGAGCAGCAGAGCTCGGGCGCTGTCTGCAGCTGTCAGTAGGTGGCACTGGGAGCCCACGGTAAAAGAGACTTTATTCCCGATAAACCTCAAATAAATTAGTCAAAACAGGGAATCTGGCTGAGTGTGTGTGTGAGGGGGTGAGGGAAAATTCCTTCCAAGAGCTCCCTGTGCAGCCTTTCATCGATGTCCCTTGGGCATCTTTCTCCTGCTGGAATTCAGCAGAGTGAATTCCTTGTGACTGCTTCCATGGCAGGTTGGAAACAATCGGAGAGATTTGGGCTGTCAGCACTGGGACCAGCGCTGTGTCACTTGTCTCCAGGTGGGATGTTTCATTCCCAGAGCTGGGTTTGTTCCTGTGCTCTGTGGTGACTCTGGGTTGGAGCCTGACCTTGGAATGGCAACATCCCAGACTGCCAGAGATGAGGGACGGGATTTCACTGTCTGTTTTTTGACACCAGGATTTTTTTTAATCCCTCAGCTAAATCAATCTTCCTGACAAAACCTAGGGAAGGGGAATGGGAATGAAACAAAAAATATTGCAGGTGGAAAAAATAGGGAAGTAAAGTGTATATCAAGATTGCCATCAATCACCTTTTCAAGTGAACCTAAGTGATTAATTCTGATTAATGTGAAATATGAGAGGAATGGCAGAGCTTCACAAGGGGTGGTTTTTGTTGTGGCGAATATTTGCTGTTTTTAAATCCATGGCACTTGTATTATAAATACAGCAGACACTTTTTTCCTTACAAACTGTAGCAAGGGGTGGTTTTTGTTGTGGCAGATATTTTTAAATCCATGGCACTTGTATTATAAATACAGCAGACACTTTTTTCCTTACAAACTGTAAATAAGTCTGATAACCATAACAGTGTTAATGACAAAGGAATTTGCCAGTGAATCTCCCTGTCAGAGCAGAAACTGCTGTCACTAGGGCAGCACAGAATTCAGCAGGTGTGCCATGCAGGAGGATTCAAGTGCCAGCTCCAGAGGGATCACAGAGGTCAGAGGAGGAGCTGTGTCCTGTGCAAAAATTCTGACAGTTTTGGAGACAGAAATGAGGTGTTCGGGAGTTCTTGGCAAGAAACCACCACAAGGAGGGTTGGACACAAACATCCCCATCCTTAATATGTGTAAGGACTGAATCAGAGCAGGGAAAGAAAAGGGGATGGGGCATTAAAGGGTGTGTTTGGAATTAAGGCTTTCTGAATCACAGAGAAATGGGCATAACAAAAAAAGAAAAATACAAAAAAACCCTCCTGAAAAGCTGTGCCTGGGGAGAGAGACAGAAGGGAGGGAGGGGAGTCAGGATTCTGCAAATGGAGCTGGAGCTGAGAGGGGCTGGGGGTAGGAGGCCGAGGCAGCACAGAGAGGTGAGGAGGGATGGGGAGGAAGGCCAGGGAAGGGTGAAGCCACAAACCTGCTGTGGCTGCTCCAGGGCTGTTGCAGAGGTGAATTAGCAGTGGCTGGGCTGAGTCAGAAAGGGGAAAGCAAACATGGGAAGAGAAGTGAAAGCACGGCTGTGCCCCTGGGGAACGGATCAGGGTCATTTGGGAATACTGTTCATGGAAAATGGGCACAGCTGCAGGGACAGGGGTTCTGTGGTTCTCTGAGCTTCTCTGGAGAGTGAGGGAGCAGACAGCCAACAAGTGTTGGATGGAGCCCACAAGCTGGAAATTGGGATGTGCCTGGACCTGCAGGGAGGATTGGGGTGTCCGTGGATCCTTTTCCTGAGAGCTGGGGAAGAGGAATTGCCTGGTGTGTGTCCTGCTCCTTCCACGAGGAAAATCGGGTGTTGTTTCAAACTGGGGTGCACAGGAGCTGATGGAAGCTTGGAGAAATCATGGAAGAAGAAATGGACCCCGGGAATTTTCGGGAGAGGCCCTGAGGGCACATACACGCTGTGATCCTACCGAATCTCTTGGAAGCTGCGTCTCCACCTGGAAGGGGCAGCACAGAGAGCTCTGTGTGTCCTGCTGCTGCCACAGAGCTGGACCCTGTGCCGGGGGCTCTGAGGGGCTCCCTGAGGCTGGAGGGAGCAGGGCTGTGAGCCCTGTGCCGGGGGCTCTGAGGGGCACCCCAAGGTTCGAGGGAGCAGGGCTGTGAGCCCTGTGCCGGGGGCTCTGAGGGGCTCCCTGAGGCTGGAGGGAGCAGGGCTGTGAGCCCTGTGCCAGGGGCTCTGAGGGGCACCCGAGGCTGGAGGGAGCAGGTTTGTTTGTTCTCACACAGAAGGAACAGAATGAGCCCCTGGCAGTGCAGGGGGAGACAGCCAGCACACAGCAGGGACACGAGCAGAGCAGCTGGATCCATTCTCTGGATCCCTGGAATGCCCAAGGCCTGGCTGGACGGGGCTGGGAGAACCTGGGACACTGGAAGGTGTCCCTGCCATGGCAGGGTGGCACTGGATGGGCTGTAAGGCCCCTCCAACCCAGGACATTCTGTGGTTCCATGAAGCCCCCTGGTGCTCTGATGCTCCTGGGGAAGGGGGGTTCCCCTCCCTGAGCCAGGGCAGGGCTGGGGGAGGCACTGAGACCCTGCAGGAAGGACCCATGGGGGGCTGAACCCCTTCTCCTCACAAAATAAAGCACGGAGGAAATAAACTCTGAATTAAGCACCACGAGATGGGTGGAGGAGAGCCACTTTAGATGGATGCTGGGTTTTTTAGGGTGGTGAAAAAGTCCTAGTGGACTTTTCCCCCTGCAGGTGGTTGTTGTCCACAGCCAGAGAAAAATAAGAGATCCAAACAGCCTAGAAAAAGAAAAATGTTACAGCTATAATATATATTTTTATATATAAAAGATATGATAAAGCAGTAGATATTACATATGATATAATAAATGCTATTTGTAATATATCTATATATATATTATATAATAAATATTGCAACATTTATTTTTTATATATTATAAACATATATATGTATATATATGTATACAATATAGATATCACACACATATATTATTAATAACATTATTATATAGAGTATATATATTATATAACATATATACATTAAATATATGTATTTTATAGCTACAATATAAATTACTATACCACACATGATACAAATGATGTATATAACATTTATTATAAAACATCTATATATAAAACAATTATATATATTATATATATATAAATATATAAAACAATTATATATAGTATACATAATGAGTATAATTATTATTTATATATTTACAAATAGATATAAAACAATTACATATAGTATACATAATGAATATAAATATTATTTATATATATACAAATATATATATAAAACAATTATATATAGTACACATAATTAATATAAATATTATTGATGTATTATATATATATATTTAAAAATTAACTTTTAAATGCTGTCAGGATCTATTATTTTTCTCTGACTCTGTTCTAGAGAAATACATTTTTAATATATAATAAAAAAATATAAAGAACCAATATATATATTTATAAATACAGATTTATATAAAATTAATTTTATAAAAGTATTAATTTATATTTATATTTATATTTATATTTATATTTATATTTATATTTATATTTATATTATCTATTTATAAATAAATTAATGCTAGATATAGTTTATATGTATGAAAGGCATTCCCCACCAGCAACGAGCGGACTACAACTCCCGTCATGCCCCGCGCCCGGGAGCGGCGGGCAGCGCGCCTCAGGCGGGAGCTGCTGCGGGACGGCCGCGCTCGGGCCCCGCTGTCAGAGCCCGCCGCCCCGGGGCTCGGCGGGCCCGCCTCCGTCCGTCCGTCCTGCGGAAAGTGCTGCTGCTGCTGCCGGGCTCCGCGCCCACCGCTCCCTGCCTGGTGCCCCTGGCTGCTTTCTGTGTTCAGCCCGTGAAACCAAGCAGGGTGGTTTGGAATCACAGAAATGAAACATGGTTGGTGTTGGAAGGGACCTTACAGCCCATCCAGTGCCATGGCAGGGACACGTTCCACTGTCCCAGTGCTCCAAGCCCCATCCAACTTGGCCTTGGGCACTCCCAGGGATGGGGCAGCCACAGCTGCTCTGGGCAGCTGTGCCAGCGCCCTCACAGAGAACAATTTCTTGCTAATATCTGTTCTAATCTATTTATAAATAAATTAATGCTAGATATAGTTTATATGTATGAAAGGCATTCCCCACCAGCAAGGAGCGGACTACAACTCCCGTCATGCCCCGCGGTGCCACAGCTTCCGGCGCGCGGCGGGCGGTGCCCCCGCGGCAATGCTCCGCCCGCCCCCGCCCCCGCGGGCTGTGGCCACGCGCGGCGGTTCCGCTTCGCCCCGGGGCTCGGCGGGCCCGCGTCCGTCCGTCCGTCCTGCGGAAAGTGCTGCT